CCTCCAGGGTGGCCGCGAGTCTTCGGTATCCACCGTTTTGAGGCGGCTCAGTAAAGGGCTGATCTCGCGGCCAGTAGGCAGCCACAGAGGATGCCCCAGGGAGGGCATGGGGCCAGCGAAGGGGTGCTGTCCCAGAGCCTGCCTGACTCAGCCGCCCCCACCCTGGACACAGGACATGGTGGTTTACGCACCAGGTTTACGCCCTTGTGGGCGACTCCGGGCCGGGCGGGTGGACTTGGTCTCTGTTTGCTACTCCAGTAACTGGGGTGACCTTGGTTAATATTCACCAGCCTCCTCCCCCCGCGCCCCCCTGCGTCCACGGCTTAAATACGGACAAGGACAGGGCCCTGTCTCCTCCATCTGGGTCCCCACCACCGATCCGGAACAGGGAACCGTAAGTATGCGCTTCCCGGGGGCAAGCTTCCCGAGGGGCCTGGGGGGAGGATGTGGCAGGGGGGCAGCCCCGGGCTCAGGGCTGATGGAGAGGGCCGCAGCCGCTGCCCATTGCCATAGCAACAGCCCCGAAGGTCGCCTCCTGGTCCCCACGCCCGCCCGGACCCCCACCCAGTGCCTCCTGCTGGGGAAACCGGCCCTTGGAGCAAGCGGAGGATTGTGCTGGTTCCGTGGTCCTGGCGCCCAGGGGGAGGCATGGTATCTGCGTGACAGCCCCAGTGTCCGTCCAGGGCTTTCCTGCCCGCGGTCCCCGCAAGCCCTGTCACCCCCCGGCTGCTTGGGCGCGTGTCTGTTTCCCCTTCTGTGGATGAGGAAGTTGAGGCCAGAGAGGGGCGGGAGAAACGCGGGGCACATCCTCCATGCCTTCCAGGCCGGAGGGAACAGAGCTGCTCTGGGCCTCAGCCTTGGAGGCCTCACAGTGGGCCTCCCCAGGGAGAGGCCTCCACTGTCATGCAGGGTGATGGCTCCAGGCCGGGTCGCTTCTGGCTCAGGGCAGGGGGTGACGCCGGGAAGCCTCATGACGAAGACTCTCTGAGGCAGTTGCCATGGCAATTCCCGTTTGACGCCCGAGGACGTTGGGAACAGAGAGGTCCATCACTTGCCCCACCATGGAGGCGTCACCTTCAGGCTCCAGACCCCACGCTCCTGGGCCCGAGTGTTGGCGTGTTTTTCTCGAGTCTCAAGCGCCGGGCGGGAACAGAAGGCCCAGGCCGGCCCTGGGGCCCCTCTGATGCTTGGTGACCTTGGATAATTGCTCAACCTCTCTGTCCTCTTGGGCAAAAGCGTAGATAAACTTTGCCCTCTCTCCTCCCTTCTCCCCACCTCCACCGACCTTGGTCTTGGAGCGAGGAAGGGTTTGATTTTCCTATCACTAGTTCTTGGAGATGGGGCCTGGAAAGATGACTGGGCCAAGGTGGCCAGATTCCCACAGGGCGCCCGGAAGCCTCACGCCATTGGTAGCAGCCGATGTACCCACCATGTACCAGGCGCTTCCTGGCATTTCTGCTCAGTTGATTCACACAACAGCTCTGTGAGGAGGTGCGTCTTGATCACCTCCGGGAAGCTGGGGTTCAGAGAGGTTGGGACACTTGCTCAAGGTCACCCAGCGGACAGCACGTTGAACCAGGGTCACCTGGCCTCAGAGCCTGTAATTCAGCACAACCCCTGTCATCTCTGCCTCTCCGGGTCACCTCAGGCGTTTTCTGTTTCAAGTCTTTTGGCTTCAGCTTTGTCCATAGAGAAAGGTTCAGTGTCAAGTTCTAGAATCAGAACGTCTAGAATTAAATCCCAGTTCTGCCAGCAACCAGCTCTGTGGTTTTCAGTAAGTTACTTAATCCTGTCTGGGCCTCCATTTTTCCATCTATAAGATGGGACTCATTAGGATTTCCACCTCTCAGAGGAAGCTTTGCGGGCAGACTGGATGAGACAGCATGCACAAAACACCTACTGGGTTTGAGTGTGGTGGCGTCTTTCGGTGGTGCAGACACTGATGTTTGCTTAGTGTAGGGTCAGGCAGCTAATAGGTGATGAGCAAATCCTCGCAGAACTTCATGTGAAACTTGCTGACTTCAGAGGCTGGTCATTGCTGAGCGGAGGCCCTGGCGTGGGAACCGGGCCTGGGAACACAGGAGCTGGCCGGGAGGACTGCCCACACAGGCAAGGGCTGAGCCCGAGTGCAGGCCCAGCGAGGGTGTGCGTACAGGGGGCATGCCTGCGGGCCCGGGACGGGTGGGTTCCTCACACGAGGTGCCCGCCCACCCACAGACGGGACGCCCAGGCTCAGAGAGGGAAATCATTTTCCCAAGGCCACCCTCCAGTAAGTGATGGGGCCTGGTCACACCTGGGGTTTATTTAGTGCCAGTTTCTTTCTTTCTTTTTTTTTTTTTGAGTTGGAGTCTCATTCTGTCACCCAGGCTGGAGTGCAGGGGCCGCTCCCGGCCACCGCACCCTCAATCTGCTGGGCTCCGGCGATCCTTCTGCCTCAGCCTTCCAAGAAGCCGGGACTACAGATGCGTGCCACCACGCCCAGCTAATTTTTTGATTTATTGTAGAGATGGGGTCTCGTCCAGTTGCCCGGGCGGGTCTCGAACCTGCGGGCTCAGGCAATCCTCTCACCTCGGCCTCCCAAAGTGCTGGGATTATAGGCTTGAGCCACGCACCCGGCCTAGTGCCAGTTTCAACAGGCTGCATGCCCTTAAGCCAGACTCTCTTCCCTGGGCCCCACCGGGTTGACCTCGGCCACTCCTTCTGTGCTTCTGGCCCAAGCACCCCCACCAGCACCCGGAGCAGTCAATGCTGCACACCTGGGAAGTGGGTGGGTAGGGAATGTGCCCCCGGCTGGGGCGGCCTTGAGGCCAGCAGCTCCGGGTGGAGACACCGCCCCTCCGTTAGTGGGCAGAGGGCCTCAGTTGGTCCTCTCCCAGCCAGGCGTGGAGCAGCCGGGGAGGGTGAGGCTTGACACCAGAGGACGCTTGCTCAAGGCCACATGGATGGCCGGGGCCTTGCCAGAGCTAGAAGCCACAGCCTCGGGCCCCGAGGCCACTCGGGATACTCAGTGTCCCAGTCCACAGAGGCCAAACTCCACCCTGAGGGCCGAGCCCTGCCAAGATGGGGAATTTCCATCACCCACGAAGGACTGCCCCAAACCCGGCCGGGAAGAGAAATCAAGGGAGATGGAAACACACGGAACTAATTTTAGCACCATCGCCCACCGCAGCCACACGGGTCAGCGCCAGAAAAACACAAACACGGAGTATGTAGTGTGTGGTCTGCGTGTTTGGATTATTTGGAGCCACAAAGGCCAGAAGGAAGGTGGTGGAAAGAAACTGGTGTTGTTTCATTGGAAAGACATTTTTAAAAGTCCAAGGGTGTCGACAACGCTCAGTATCTCTTATTCCCAACTTTTCCCATCTGGTCTTCCTATCCCACATTCGAGGACGCGCTCCTCTTTGTCTTGTGTTAAGAGGTTAATTTTAGTTACGCGACTAATAGCTAACTATGCGGCCTCCAAACATGTTCTTCTCAGCTCAGACTCAGTTTCTCCATCTGGGAAGACAGGTTCTCCTTGCAGGGTGCAAACTGGTTCTCCGAGGCCTGGGCCTATCTAGAGTGGACCCAGGCAGGCTCTGTGTTGCTGTGAATGACAGCAGCCTTGACCATCTGCAACCAGAGCCTGCTCTTGCTGGTTTGGCCACAGACCTCACCACTCCCTACTGTATCACCCCTGCCCTGAAGCACAGATCTCTTGCCGGCCTGTCTCCGGAAAGTTTTGAGTAGGCAACACCCGCCAAGCTCTCGCTACAGAACACTTCCACGTAGAGTTTGGTGTCTAGACTCAATTCACTACATCCTCCTGGCAACCCCATGTGCATACAAGGCAAAATGCGGACCTGAGAGGCGATGGCTCGTCCCGGCCCATACGGCTAGAAAATGTCAGGGCCTGCCCTGGGCCTACCCTCAGTGAAGCTAAGAGATGCTTTTTCGCCCCAAGCCCCCCACACAGACTCCCGTGTGAAGGCAAGATAAGCATCCCTAGCCCAGGACTGGGACATGGTGACCGGGATGACAGGCAAGCTGGCGCCAGGAACATCAGCCGGTCCTCGGGTCACGGTCCCCTCGCTCAGGAAAAACCCAAAAGGCCGAGGCTCCTTGTGAAGGGGACAGTCCCGGGGGGTTAACCACAGCCCCGCTGTCCTCGACTGTGCTGCGTCAGGATGTCAGGACGCTTCCTCCCCGGGGCATGTTCCCTGGCCATGGCGTTAAGGAGTGGGTGGAGCCCTCCAAAGGTTCCAGATCTGACCCCATCCCTGGACAACCGTGGACGGGCCCACTGGTCTTTCTGTACCTTAGTGTCCTCTTTTGGGAGGCAGGGGCCGTATCACTCGCACCTTGGAGTCCCGGTCAGAGCACGGACTCAGGACCTGGGTGTGTGATTCTGGCCCGACTGCTTCCCCTGCCTCTGGCCTTGGGCTTGGGCCTCACCCTCCCTGGGCCTTGGCTTCCTCATCTGTGCAGGGATGGTAGGACTGTTAGAGAAAAGCAGTGCATGAACACAGGTGGGTGCTTGGCATGGGGTGAGCACCGTGCACATTCTGCAGTCTTTTGGCGTCTTTCATTTTTTTTTTAGTTGGAGCCTCCCTCTGTCGCCCAGACTGGAGTGCAGTGGCCGCTCCCGGCCACCGCAGCCTCGACCTGCTGGGCTCCGGCGATCCTTCCGCCTCAGCCTTCAGGCACGTGCTACCACACCCGGCTAATTTTCGATGTATTGTAGAGACGAGGTCTCGCCAAGTTGCCTGGGTGGGTCTCGAACCCACAGGCTCAGGCAATCCACTCGCCTCGGCCTCCCAAAGTGCTAGGATAACAGGCTGAGCCATCGAGCCCGGCCTGGAGTCTTTCATGAGGACGGAAGGAAGGGGCTTAGTGCAGGCTGGGGACCGGGTGGGTGCCTGGCACCCTGAGGTTGTTGTATATGATGTCACTCGCGGGTCAGTGGGCGTCCCCGAGCGCCCTGACTCGGGGCCCGTGCCCCTTCTCTGTCTCGCAGGACAATGCCATCCTCTGTGTCGTGGGGAGTCCTTCTGCTGGCAGGCCTGTGCCTCCTGGTGCCCGGCTCTCTGGCCGAGGACGCCCACGGGGACGCTGCCCAGGAGACGGACACATCGCCCCACGACCACGACCACGCGGCCTGCCGCAAGATCGCCCCCAGTCTGCTGGACTTCACCTTCAGCCTGTACCGCCAACTGGCCAACCAGTCCAGCACCGCCAACATCTTCTTCTCGCCCGTGAGCGTCGCCGCGGCCTTCGCCATGCTCTCCCTGGGGACCAAGGAGGACACGCTGTCCCAGATCCTGGAAGGCTTGCACTTCAACCTCACCAAGACACCCGAGGCACAGGTCCACGAAGGCTTCCGAGATCTCCTCCAGACGCTCAACCAGCCCGACGGCCAGCTCCAGCTGGTCACTGGCAACAGCCTGTTCGTCAACCAGAGCCTGAAGCTCGCGCACTCGTTCCTGGAGAACTCCAGGAAGCTCTACCAGGCCGAAGCCCGCTCCGTCAACTTCAGGGACCCCGAGGAGGCCAAGAAACAGATCAACGCTTACGTGGAGAAGGGAACCCAAGGGAAAATCGTGGATCTGGTCAAGGAGCTCGACGAAGACACACTTCTCGCCCTGGTGAATTTTATTTTCTTTAAAGGTAAGGCACACACTGGCCCGAGATGGTGCCCATGGAAACTCCCCTCAATAGTGGCAACTTTTTTTTGCTTTTTTCGGTTTTTTTGAGTTGGAGTCTCACTCTGTCACCCAGACTGGAGTGTAGTGGCCACTCCCGGCCACCGCAGCCTCGACCTGCTGGGCTCTGGCGATCCTTCCGCCTCCGCCTTTCAAGTAGCCGGAACTACAGGCGGGCGCTTCCACGCCCGGCTAATTTTTTGATTATTGTAGAGATGAGGTCTCGCCAAGTTGCCCAGGCGGGTCTCGAACCCGTGGGCTCAGGCAATCCACTCACCTCAGCCTCCCAAAGCACGGGATGACAGGCTGAGCCACCGAGCCCGGCTACTTGCAACATTTTCAGACAACTAGTTTCCAAACCCTCCCGGGCAATGCATCTCAGCAGGAGTTTGTCTACACACAAACACTAAAATATTTTTCTTTTTTTTTAGATTCTATTTTAAAGATGCAGGGTACAATTCAGGGTTAGGCATACAAATGGTCGTTGTACAGGTAAAATTTGGGCCTCACTCTGTCCCCACATCACCTGGTCCCCTTATTGATGAGGTTTGCCCCCCCACCCCTGGCAGTTTCCGGCTACTGCCAGTCCCTTTCGTATAGTATTATGGTAATTGTTCGGGGTCTGCTTATGAGGACATGTGGTACTCAGTTCTTTGTTTCTGTGATAGACCACTGAGTATTAAAGACTTAAGTCCAGCCGGGCTCGGTGGCTCAGCCTGTAATCCCGCGGCTTTGGGAGGCTGAGGTGAGTG